GGTAACCAGTGGCGCGTCATGAATACGTAATCGCGATACGATCAACGTCCAAAGCAATTTCGAGTAATTTTTATCGGTCGCCCGCGAGGGAACGGAGCAGTGGGACGGCGGAGAGAGCAGAGGGAGAGAGGAGAGGCGAGCCTCTATGGAGTTGAGAATACGCTTCCAAGGGGTATAATACGAAACGAGGTCCGAAAATCCTGTTTTCCAACAGTGTGTGTTGCGATTTGCAATGGAGATCAACCCGTGGATCGCTCCTATTTACATGCCCCACGTACAATGAATTATTCGAAATTGACCCGTTCGTCTGAAGAAACATTCGCTTGGCGAACACCCGCTGCGAACAATGGATCGGTTCATTCCTCTAAATGGAGGAGTATAAAGATATCGATGGATCGGATGGATTGGATTGAAGGAATCGGTTCGTTGGTCGATTTGTTCGAAGGTATTAAGTATCTGTGCGAATTTGTATTCCGCAATTTGCCCGATTATTGAAAATGGGAAGATATCGAGTTGCGTGGGTTTATTATATTATATTATTTATTATATTATTATATTATATTATACGTTATATTACGTGGATTATTCGTGGCAAATATGAAAATTATCCGTGAGAAAATTAATTGGATTTGAGTATAGATGGATCCTCAAAGAAGATTCTTGATCGTGCCTTGATCTCTATTGAATCATTATTCATTCGATATATTCGATCTCGTGTCTGATTTTTAAGACTCGAAACTGGGTCGTTGAAGTGAAAGGAAAATCAAAAAAAGTCAGATGAAGCTGCGTTATCATTAATGGATTCGAAATTGACATAAGGGTTGTCGTTCAAACTGACAGAAAATTAATTCACCGTGACAATCGTGTTCACTCCGGAAACTTGGCAATCGAATTTTCAACAATTAAAACCCGTTTCTCCATGTAAGCTTCCCCCATTCCCTTCCCCTAAAATGTTTTCCATTTATAATTGACTATTTCATTTTACTTCAAAAACGAATAAAATTCCATTTTCATTTTTATCAAACAGTCGGAACCACGAGGGGGAAAAAAACCACTTACATTTTTCCTTTTATCTCAAAAATCAAGAAAATTTATGCGTCAAAAAATTAAATTCCAAGACTGGAAAATTCTCGAGAGGAGCACGATATCTCCAACGACATCGAACAAAGGTCTTAACTTTTCGGAATTTTTCCACGCAAACCGCGGTTCGATTCCTCGAAAACGTTTTCCATCCCAACCACCTTCTCCTCGACCCACTTCGCAGTATCACCCCCACCCCCTCCTTCCTTGGAAAAAAGAAGAAAACATTCGGCTTCGAATCGTCTCCATTTACAAACTCTCCCCCCAATTCTATCCATCGAACAGAAACTTCGATTAACTCTACCAATCCCGAACAGACGTTGGAGCAATACCTCGCGGGTGGAGCATCGAATCGACAGGGAGGGTCCGATATGTCGCTGGGACAGGCGGATAATCGCGAGCGAATATACAAGGGCGGAACGAAAAACGTCCATCGACAGATCTGTCGAAGATGGAGCTCGACGGCCAACCCTTAATTAACACCGCGGCAGGCCTTCTACAGGGTTTGGAAAATTCATTAAAACCGAAATTCCATTCCAACGCCAACACGAGCGCGTTACGACACCAATTTTCTACGCTTCTGCTTTCTATTACGTTTAAAACTTAATTCGATGCCTCCGCGTTTGTAAATTGTTCGTAAAATTTGATTTAAATATTCTGTTTTGCTATCTCATTTTGCGAAGGTGAGTGCAAGTTTTTCGTTTAGGAGAGAGAAACATTCGATCGATATTTAAAATTAATAAATTTAATATTCGTCATTGAATGAATGATGTAAAATGTGTTGTTTTGATTCAATTGTTCTTATTACAAGCTCAGATCAATTGCAATTTTAGTTTGCAAGTTCTAACTTTTTGAAAAGATTCAAAGAAAAAATTATATCATTTTAAAAATTATATTATACAGTTCCAATTCTTGGATTATTAATCTAATGCAAGTTTTGAGAGCAAAAAGATAATTTATTGGCTTTATTTAATTATCATCGTTTCGGATCGTTTTTTTTTTTTTTTCTTTTAGTGAAACGCGCATCCTTTTTGATAAAAATGATTTCTCTTTTAAAAGGGCATCGAATTAAATTCCAGACCTGACAGATCGATCGCACTGTATCGAGAGTAAACAGGTGATGAGAGAAACGGGAGCGCGCAAGGGTGGAGGCGTCGAAGGCTAATAATAAAAGCGAAGGAATGTTTCCTGTACGTGTTGGTAACGTGGAGAAGAACGATAAGGGACGGTGATAAAACTGGGCGGTAGTGATATGGATGGAATGACGGAAGATTGGTGGAAACAAAAGATGATGAGTACTGGAGCGCGTTTACGCGGTAAATGGAATCTCTGGGGGTGTGTTTTCTTGCATTTAGTGTATTTCTGTGCACAATGTAGACTGTACCACTGTAATGGTCCGCGTTATGCCGTGGAACACGAGAAATTAATTTATTATAATAGCCAAAAATAATATTTTAAACGTTCGGATAAAGAAATTACAATTTCTCTTTTTAAATTCTTTTCTAAAACAGAATACGAATCTAATAATTCTAATCTCAAGACAAGTGATTCGTAATATTTAATAAACTTCAGTATTATAAAAATAATTATAAATATGAAACTTGTTTAACTACTTTATGAAGTAATATTTGATTAATTTAATTAATTTACAATCTCCCCATATCGCGACCTGCTCCAGTTCCCCAATTTATATTAAAACAACTCGTTTCGCTTTTCAAACATATCGCGGTAAAAAAACATAGGAAAATATTCATTCACAATTTCTATAAAACGAATGGAAACGATCGATGAACAATATTCCACAAAGCGAATATCTAACAAGGAAAAGAAGAAGATGAAGAAGAAGAAGAAAACGTAAAAAACGAAGGAAATCTCGAAAGGAGAGCAGCGAAAGGCATAAAAGATGTAACAGTTGGATGCATTATCGAACGAGACCAAGGATGAAAAATTAACGAATATAGAGGCAGTTTCGAAACTAGGCTCGAAACGAGGCCTGAGTGAAAACGGTGGATGGGAGGCGATGGAAGGGTGGAATAAAAATGTAAGCGGAAAACAAGTGGAGGTTATAGGGGCGGATACGTGATGAACACGTAAAACGTGGAAAAACGTGGAAAAACGTGGAAACACGAGGGGGCGTGCGAAGAGCGAGAGGCAGGTCTGCCACTTGACTTTGGCCAAGCGGAAGTGGCCTAGACGAAGACAAAGAGAGACGGAGGAGGAGCGAAGAGATATCAAGACGCTGGAAACAGCTATGCTACGTGTCGTAAGAGTCATTAGGCCTGGTTTCTCTAATCTTTTGATTAAAGCAACTGACCATCCCTTTGCAATTTTTATTCATATTCCCGTTTCGATATTGCAAATTGTAAATTGGAAATATAAATTGGAAAACGCTTGGGTGTGTGGAAATTGGATAAAATTTCAAAGATAAAATGATTAAACGTAAATATTTGTTGTTAATTCAAAGCTTGGAACGAATACTTGAATATTACGAGAATTAATCGTCTCATTAATGTAATGAAAATATCGTAATAAATACCTCAAATTCGAGTGATTTAAAATTCAATATAACAAATTATTGATAAATTAGATCAATAGAATTATTCAATTCATGTTATTATCGTAATATTCTTGGACAAGATATATCGAATTTGTTCGATCAAACTTTGATTAACATTAATAAAACTATAAATATCAAAAGTCTTATTTTTTTAAGAATTTCATTATCTGTAACAATTTAATAAAAATAAGTCCAAGCAATCCTGCCTCTGATTTTATCAAAAATCGCTCGTTTTTATTTTTTAGATCGCATGTCTTGCGATTTTCTAATATTCAGCGAGGGATAGTGAAAATACTTGTTAAAGGGAAATTTCGTTGTCTACACAAGAATCGAAGGATTGAAACTGACACTGCGCTGATATTAGAGAATCCGAGCACAGTTTAAAGCTGTGTCGAACGCACGTGATCGTTACAAGTGGAATCCTTTTCCTCCCTTCTCTTTCTTTTTTCTCTTTTTCTTTTTTGCCCACTTTGGTAATGGAAAACCGTTATAAAGTAGCTTCTTTTAAATCCCGCCCTCTCTTTCTTTTCTTTCTTTCTCCTCCAAAGATCGCACGGATGCTTTTTTTTCCCGGACACTTGTAGATTTATATGCGACACCTAGAGAACGTGGACTTTGGATCTGGTTTATAAATATTTTCGAAGCGGTCGGCCAGCTTATCGATCTCGCCGTGGAGCGTGATGCAAGTTTTTGCATAGCGTGTGCATTCGGGTGAGGTGGAACGTTACTCGGAAAATGTGATTTTTAAAGCTTGCGGGGCATGAAGAGGATTATAAGCATAAGTTGGTATGGTGGGAATTAAGGAGCTTAAAATTTTCAGTCTTGAACGTAATCGTTATGCGAGTATCGTCGAAAACTTCTTTTTTCCAAGAGATACAAACAGGATGAACAAGGCAATCTAAAAATTTCTCCATTTCTCCTCTAAGCAAAATTTAAAAAAAAGAATCTAAAAAAACAGAACACTAAAACCACCCGTTGTTTAGAAAAATACAATAAACAATTTACCGAAAAACCCCTCAATTTAATCCAAAAAACCACTTCAATTTATCCACTCGAGGAATTCAAACTCTCCTTCACCCCAAACGATAAATCATCTAAACCGTTCGACTAAGATTTCTCACCAAATTTTTCTCCAAATCCGCCAGAAAACGAAAATCCTAAACAACATTGAACAACCGCCTGAGAACCTAAAACCTACCCTATCGAACGAGATCCCGTACCGATTCATCCCTCTCTCTCTCTCTCTCTCTCCCGTGCCATCTCGCGCCACAGCGGCGGAGAGAGCGTGTTTCCGCTCGAGATGGAGCACCTTTCCCGTCCTCCGAATCGGTTAATCGGTTCGACAACAATCGTCGGGACTCACGTTTCTTCTCATCTCGCGTCGAATCCGTGCTCACGTGCGGCTGTCCGATGGTCGCACGGTCGTTGCACCTTCGGGCCTCGTTGCGGCACCAGCCTCAACGGGGACAGCGACGGGCACCACGTCGGCGAAGACGACGATCCGTGGAAGGTCGAGGGCTGAGACGACGGCGACGGGGACGTGGATCGGGCGCGACGATGTCGATTAGGGGCGAGCGACGCGCGTAACGACACGGAATGGCGAGCACTCGGTGCAATCGCGAAGCACACGCGAGCGACGAGCATCGCCCCAGCTCGGCACCAAGCTCACGACTGCCTCTCGGGGGCTTAGCTGGGGGTTGCTTCGACTCCTTCGGTTCACCGGTTCAATCGGTGGCTGGGGGCGGCCTCCGAGGGGACGGGGAGGGCTACGTTATAACCCGACACACAGCTGCCGTCTAGGGGTTGGAGTCGGAACCCTGGCGGACGTTTAATGCGCAAACTCGCCGGCGCAGTAACGGTGACGCGAAGGTTTCCGCGCGGGGTTGTAAATAGGGGTGCTGGATGCACTCGCGGTCGTGAGATTGTTCGAAATGGCGAATACGTCGATTGGGAAAGCATTAGCGCTAGCAGTGGCTTGCGTAAATATTCGTATAAGTGTATGAGTGTCAAAAGTTGAGGTAAAAGAAAATAATTGGATTATGTGATTTTTTACTCGAACGTGAGTATTTCGTTGAATAGCGGATGGAAATAGTTTGGACTATAGTTTGGACTATATCGAGACGGTTAAGTGCGTTTTACGTGTGATCGCTTCGAAAATTTTATCTTTCGATGATATTGTATTACGACCACGATTTGGTTTAATAGGAGTATTGAACGTATTGAGGTATTTTTTAAAATTATTGGCTATTATAGGTGTGTATTTTACGTTGTTAGGGTAGTTTTCGAAAATAAAGGAGAATAGATGCGGGATTCGAAAATATGAGAGCAAAATAGAAGGAAGCTTTCCACGGGATAAAAATGTACGTTTGTTTAAACAACTTGATCAGAATGCTCATTTGTACGCAGTCGCTGGTGATTCAACGACGCAGTAGAAACTGCCGATCGCGGTCGGACACGCGATACTGGCATTAACTCTCTAAATTAAAACTGTGACGCGATATACGCGATGCGAGACGAAAAAACGAGAAAGCACACGAGTAAACAACTTTCGTGATCGAACCACTGTTTTCGATACGAAAATTCACTTTTTTTTCCTCACGTGCTTACATTAATTCATCCTCTAAAATTTAGAATTCTACTAAATATCTCTATTTCTCAAAAATCATATGCAAAGAAAAATGCCCTCTACATTCCTCTACAAATTAGCCACTAAATTACTCCCCTAAGTAAACCCTAACAAAATTCAAAATCAATCAAGCCCCCGCGCCACTTGGAAGGACAAGTGTGCCTCCCACCTCGATTCCTTATTATATTCCAAGTGATTCGTAATCACATTAACCGCGGCCAGAACACACGTGGCAAGAAACCGATACTCAGGATCAATTAAGCCTCCATCGGCATGCACGCTCGAATTCCTCCGGTTCGGCGTTTCTGACGTAAGCATAACCTTGAGCCAGTTTCGATATTAGGCACGCGTGGTTAACAGCTCGAGAAAACTCGTCCCTTATCTATCTCATCGATCCTACGTATATATATGTATATATATATACCGGAAGGGTATATATAAGAGAGGAGGAGTTAAACCTTCCTTTCTTTCCCTTTTTTTTGATCATATTCCATTTCTCGAAGCAATTATTCACCTTCGATTCTCGTTGCTTGTTTCGCTTTGGTAGATATGAACGATAGGAACACCTACCTGCGCGTTCTACCGCAGTGTCGGGGTACTTGCACCCTCGTTGTAAACGTATCAACAGGTTCGCGTGCCGGATGCGCTGGCATACCGGAAGTCATCAGCAAGGCCGCACGACGTGGTTTTTCACGGCCTCATATGGTAACGATCTGGACATTCTCTCTCGTTCTCTCTCTCTCTCTCTCTCTCTCTTTCTCTCGTTCTCTCGCTCTCTCTCGTTCGTCCTTTCTCTTTCTCGCTCTCTCTCGCTCTCTTGTTCGCCCTTTCTCTCTCTCGCTCTTTCTCTCTCTCTCTGTCTCTTTGCACGAGACAGACGAGTCGTAAAAGTTAGCTCTTGATAAGTAATCGATGATACGGGAATAGAGGCGAGATTTCGAGGATTTTCTACGGGACGATAGAAAATAATAGATTAGAATGAATTTAAGTTGCTTACGGGTTAAATTATTATGTATAGGGAATATAAAGGTAAAGAGAATCGAGAGAAAATTGTGGAATAGAATCGCGTGGAATTGAGAGAAGCGCAGTTGGGGGATGAAAAGATTGTATAATAAAATTTGTAGGCCCATCTATTCTCACTTTTATCGAGTCGCGTTACACATAATTTGCGCGAATTTCGGAATAAAGAATTGACGCGTATACTGAACAGATACAGCTAGTTAGAGACGTTCCTTGGAAATTAGGATCGATAAGAGGTAAGTACAAAATTGCCTAAGCTAAATGATCGAACACATTCTCGACGTATTCATTTTGCCAGTAGTCGATAAGATGCTTGAATCTTGCCTCCTCTTGTGTTGCTCTTCTTTTTTCTGTACTTGTCTCTCTTGTCCTATTACGAAATGCATGCAGGTTTTTTTGTAAAAAATATATCAAAGTACGTTCTAATGTGTTCTAGCTTCGATATCGAAAAACGAGTATTTCGATTTTTCATTCGAACGTTGTGTGCGATATACTCGATTTAGGTTTTCTGTTTACTCCGTATGATGTTAATTTCCAAAGCAGCCGAGATGAGAAATTCCAATATCACAGAATTTAATTTCTTTTTTTTTCTGTTCCTCGCATCATCGCAAGGGGCAAAAGAAATGAATCACGGAATGGACGAATGGTTCGTTTTAGAACAATTTTAGACTTATTTTCTTTTTTTCCTTTTTTCTTTCTTTCTTTCTTTCTTTCTTTATTTCATTTTTCTTTTTTTTCTATTTTTTTTCTTTTTTTTTTTTTTTTTTTCTTTTCTTCCAATCGCGATGCAGAAAAAATTAATAATTGACAATTGTTTCATTGGGTCCACTTGATTGTTACGGCCGATCGACTATGCTCGAAGCCACACTACGAAACTAAAATTATGTACAAAATCACAATGTTCCTCTCTCGCGGATATTCGTTACACCGTCGTCACAATTTTATTCGCCGTAATCTCTTGTATAATCCGCAAGGATTCTCTTGTATATAAATTACACGTGACTACGAATCGCTACGAATCGCGCGCGCAATTGCAACCTATGTCTTTCTTCGTTTCGCGTGCGCGCGCGAAATAAACAGAGCTAAATGATTCACGTTAAATATAGGTAACCTAAAAACTACATTAATTCGTGAACCGCGCAAATAACGCTAATATTCGAGTACCGTGCGGGCGGGTAACGTCGTCGTGTACCGCAACGCAAACGTAGTATGCGAGTGACAATGAGAGTGACACAGAAATAAAAATTTATGGGAAAGAAAACAACAACGGTGTCCAATTCGATAACGTCGCTGTTTAAACGACGCGTTGTTTATAATTATCACGTAAGAAAAAAAAAAAAAAAAAAAAAAAA